AATAAAAAAAGATTTATCAAATTTAGATAGGTGGTTGCCGAGATATTTTCGCTCAAAGTTTTATAAAAATTTTGCTGCGGCTGTTATTTTGATAGATGTTTTCAAACTTTGAGCGAAGTTATCTCAGCAACCAACCAACTAAATTCGATGAAATTTTTTTATTTCGATTCTACAAAAAAAACTAAAGAATCAAAATAAAAAAATTGTCTGATTTTAATTAGGTGGTCGTTGAGATATCTTAGCTTGAATTCTTGAAATTTTATAGAAATATGATGCATCAAGAACGCCATCTCAATTTAGGGGTAAATTAGACCTACCAAAAAAGTAACCGCTGATCTACCAAAACGTAACTTTTGCGACTCTGTAGACCTGGTGCCCTGATCGCCCCATAGCTAATTATTCCATGTGATCAAAAGGCGATTTTGGACCAAAAAATAAATATTATATTGTTAAAAACACCGATTTATTTCAGTATTTGGATTTTGTGCAAATATTTGAAAATTTGGGAGCCACAATTGCCCCCTATAAATCACCAAATATTTAAAAATAATACCAAAAAACACATTTACCAAAAACCGAAGAAATTAGTTATTTAGAATAAAATTCAGCCGAAACTGAAATAGAACAAAGAATAACTGACAGTTATAATTTTGAAGCCGAAAGTTATAGTGATATAAGTAATTCCAAACACTATGACCCAATGCATCAGACTTCGGCAGAAAGAAGCACAAATGAAAGATTTACGCCTTTAAAAATACGCTGTTTAGGGGCTAATTGTATTAATACAGCGGCTTTTGATCGGCATCATGCCAATTGTGGTGGTAATTTTCAGATATCCAATCGGGCTCGTCTTAAATGTAATGGTTGTTCGTTAGTTGAGGACATAACAAACTTTTCTTTTAACTGCTCTAATCATAATGGGAATTATTTCCAGTCAACAAATCAAATTGATATTAGTGCTTTTAAAAGAGCCTTATTTAGTGCTTTAAGTGAAGGAGCAATGGACGAAAGTATAACTCTGGAATTAATTCAGTATTTAAATAATGGTTTATAATTATTAAAATTAATAAATATAATGGCAAAATTAGAATTATCTTATAACAAATGGAATTTTTTTTTATTTTACAGTAATTCTATGAATCAAAAATTAAAATAAAAAAATTTCATCAATTTTAGGCAAGTAGTTATTGAGATATTTTCTCTCAAGTTTGGAAAAATTTAGCTGCGTCTTACGTTTTGATAATCGGCTAAATTTTTTTCTTTGAGCGATGATATCTCGATAGCTGCTTACCTAAACTCAATAATATTTCCTTATCCTAATTCTACGAATCCATAGAGTTAAAATAAAAAAGAATCTATTAATCTTAAGTAGACTATCGTCGCTCAATTCAAAAAAATTTAGCCGATTGTCAAAACAAAGACCGTGGCTAAGTTTTTTTCATTCTTTGATATCAATAACTGCTTATCTAAAATAATCGACAACATGCATAATCGAGCACAGAATTTTTAATGCGTGTAGGCTTACGTACGCGTTGCATGAATTGCGTGATCGATCATCTTGCAATATAAATAGAGAAAATAATCTTTTTAGTCAGTTTTTCGTTAGTAGCAAAGATTTTTCATTAGTAGTTATAGTTTTAGGCTTTAGTAGTCTTAGAACTTGAATAAAGAAACCTTTAACCATAAACTGTGTTGGTACGTGGTATCCCTTTGGGTGGAAGTACCTGAACGATACACCAGTCATCGTAAAAGTGCCAAGCGAGTGAGTTCTACGAAATTCTCAGTTGTGGTTTAGTATAGCACAAGACATATTAGACATTAATTATAGATTTTATCAAATTATTATCAATGGATCGATTAATAAACAATCAAATATAAAATGTGGGTGAAATATGCTTTTTTTCGTCAATGATTTTTTTTAACAGTATATTAGATGCGCAGCTTGTAAACCACAGTCGGAGTAGATTATAAAAAACATAGAATTTCAGACTGTTGAAAAGTCGGGCCGCAGGGACACGGAATTTATGAGATAAGAACTTGTAAATTATGCGTGCGGTATGTATAATAAATTTAAAAGTGCGATTTAGTGTTTTTGTAAATTTTACTCGTAAAAAAAACTTACAATTTTTTAATACTGCGCTCAACTAGCAAATTAATATGCAATTTTTAATCGGAGAATAAATTAATACGCAATTTTTTAATCGGAGAATATAAATATGATGTAAAATTATGCGATTTAGTGCGATTTGGTTTAATCGCACTAAATCACAATTTCCGTGTCCCTGTCGGGCCGGAATTGACATCATTAAATGAAAATCTCCGGACAATTACCATATTCTATCATAAATAAGCACTACTCCCTACCCCACTTTTTTAAATGTCAGATTGGCGGAAATACCGTTTCTGATGGATCGTCGATACTGTTCCTGATAGGGTTCTGAAAAACCACACTACTGACGAATATAAGGCTATGCATAAAAATTTGCAGTCCACCATTACTGCCCAACCAGATTATAAAATCAACGCATAACATAGAATCCAAAAAAAAACCCCCGGAAATTAGTGTTCAATCATTCAGTAAAGTTTTTCAACCCAAATATTCTTATTGAATTCGCACGAAATAACACCCATGGCATTATTTTAAGACACGTAATTCAAAGAGAGTTAATATTTAATTAGCCGAATACAGCCATAATTTTAATGTTAATAATTCCTTTGCTAAGATAATTATTAGCACTCTTAAAATTACGTGTCTTGAATAACGCCATGGGAGTTATTTTGCTCAGATACGGTACTGTATTATCTTAAGGTCAATATTTAGGCAAGCTGAAATCAATTGTAAATTAATCACGGGTCGTGATTTAGCACTCGCATTATAACGAAGCATCATCATGAAAAATTAACTTCCGAATTCTTTTAAGAACCCTATCAGGAACGGTACGTAAATCGATTTTTTTTTCATCACATCAGGACGATCCATCAGGAACGGTATTTTTTGCTTAGCCAAGTTAGTCCAGCTGATCTGATATTAAAAAAAATGTGGTAGAGGGTGCGGTGCTTATTTGTAATAGAATACGGAAGACAGTATATTTGGCAATTAGATGTAACTGAATTTCAATAAGAGAAAATCGATCACTTAAGCAAACCGTTCTAGTATTGCCCCAAAAAATCATTTATGTACGTATTTGAAATTAAAATTGACTCTAATGTATTACTTTGTATTGATGAATTTAACAGTCTGGTTTATTTAGTTTTGGTCTGGTTTGTTACAGTCTATAGTCTTAAGAGTTAACTGGACCGGACTTGTCCAGACACGGTCTAGTCTTGAGGATAAGTGCAACTCAATTTTTTCCGGTCTTAAGACCAACTGTGTCTATTAGTCTAATAACAAACCACATAACATCCCTGCACAGCATAGCGGGCTTTATTATGATTGGCTGATTTGTGAAGATCATCTCATCATAATAAAGTCTTATTAAAGTAACGATTTGCTATCACAAAAATGAATTCGGGGCCACGAGTACGAATTCGGGAAGGTTATGACATAAAGATTTAGAAACTACACCTTCGGCTCTACAACATACCAAAGTAATTTGGTAATTGACGAGGTAATTCGGAAGTTAGATGAGAGGTATGTTTAAACGTTTCAATTTAACCAGTATAATCTACAATTTATTAAACTTGGTAAAATGAGGCATTTTTCAAAAGGTTTACAACGCTAATCTACTTTGTTTATTTTCTTATTTATTTTTCTAAAGACAGACGCGTACTGCCAGTAAATAGATTAGTGATGTGAAGCAATGAAAGTATGAGCTTGCGAACTTTATGAGGGTTAAAATATAGTGTTACGTCTATTATTAAAGCATATTGTTACGTTTAAGATTATTAATTTAGTATATGGCTAAATTCGTTCTACACTATATAATTGTTATTATATACAATTAAAAATTATTTATATGATTTTTATAATCTCTTAAAACAAATGGTTCATATTTTTTCATCTGATTTTTGTGCTTTTTTTTTTTTTGCGTGTAATATATAGTTTTTTAAAAAAATAAAAAAATAAGCTCTTGGGTTTTTTTGTTTCGGGACGTTGTTTTAGACTTTGAGTTGATAGATTTCGTAGTAATGCGTTTATTAATGCTAAATTGATTTTATACGGGTTCGTACGTATAAAATTTGTCTTGCGAATAAGTTCGATTAACCAATGATATTCTTTCAATATCACGGGATGATCTACAAAATCAGCCAATTACAAGCTATGCTTCCCTGCACAGTGTGAATCAGGTATCTTAATATAATGGTTGGGTTCGACTTATAGAAAAATATCATTGAAAAAGTTTTTTTTTTTTTTGAAAATAAAATACATAACATACTTTTTATAATCGATAATTTTTATATTATAACGAAGTATTCAGATTATGACTATCTTTTTTTTTGAAGATACGAAATGTTTCATAATTTAATTATCTGTTATTATCACTATAATAAAACAAAATAAACAAAATAAATAATATATTTTCTCAAAATATTCAAATTTCTTATAATTAAGAATTCTAATGATTAAACTGACTGATGTAGTTGATAAATTATTTGCACTCTATTGAATCAAATGATACTTCAAAATAGTGTTCCTATGAACCGAACTGAAACCGAACTTTGGTCAAGTTCAGGTTCAGGTTCAGTTCAATCATGTTCAAT